GCAGTTTGAAGTATACAAGTTGTACTGTATGCCAAGCTGTTTTTTAGAAAAGGGTACAGTCTACTTTTTGAGATACAGAGCTTCCCCGCTTTCTCTTCGGGTCATGGCAGTCTTATAAGATGTTTGCGTACGTAGGTTCAATGTTTTTTTGGCTAGCGCAGAGCAGTGACCAACTGACAAAGAAGAGTGATAAATGATAACATGCAAATAATATCAAAAAAGTTTGTTGTTTTTTCTTAGAAAAGCGGGTTTCAAGAGTTTTGCATATTCGGAACCAGCGCGACGAGTTACGTCGGACAGCGCAAAGATCTCCTCAAGATCCTTGCAGTTTTTGGACCCAGTAGCTTCGCTGGAGGTTTTCACGGTATATTATACTAAATTTATATTCAACAGCAGTCCTCAAACAAATTTCGTTTACTTCTCTTTGATTTTATTTTCCTTCCGTCTCATATAATTTTCTTATGTGCTCGTATATATGTGTGTAGAACTTTATCTCTCTTTATACAAACGAACAAATTTTCTATTTTAATCTAGATATTCATTTATTAGATGTCGAAAAGAAGCAGTGCTCATCATGTATTCCAACTTCACGAATTAAAATTAAATTAACAAGAGAGGGTCCATTTCCACTTTTTATACCAGTTTGAAGAACACAAGTTGTACTATATACTGGTGTACTTTTAAAAAAAGATTCCTTTTAGTTATTCAGATATGTGGCTCACAATTTTGATGATTGACGTTTAAAAAGTCACATCTTTTATGTCCAACAGCTAGATAAACTCTTTTTGATCACCATGACTTTCCGACTTTCTCTTCGGATCATGATAATCAGAGATAAGGTGTGTTCAAACTTTATTTATTCAGTGAATAATCACATTAATTTTATGTAGAAAATGAAATAAAGTAGAAATGAAGCATCGAAATAAGATTAAATCAAAATTTCGTGTTTTTTTTGTGGAAAGCGTATCTTGAGATTTTTTGTATATTCGAAATCAGTATAATCGATGGCATGGTACAGTAAGACTCGTGTAATGTGTGTAGAACGTTATTTCTTCTTATAAAAAAACAAATTTTCATCGAACATTCAACTATTATATGGACAAGGAAGAGTGCCCGCTACGAATCTATCATATACACTGGAAACCCTGCGAATTAAAATCAAGTTAATCTGAAGGAATCCATTTTTACTTTTCATAATAATTTGAAGCACACGAGTTGTACTATACATTAATCTACTTTTCGGAGAAACTTCCCTTTTAGTTTCTGAAATATAAGGCTAAATTTACATCGAAATATGTTGATAGCCCAACTCTTCATCCATTTACACCCAGTCATCATTTTTACAACAAAGTATATTTAAAACGGCAGAGAGACATTATCAGAATTCGAACACAAACTCTTATTTTGAGAATCAAACCACTTAACCATTATCGAAAGGAAGATGCTTAACGTGCGATCAGCATAACATTCTGCGTCGAATGCTGTATGTTTGAACCAAAAATGAGAATGTAGCTTGGATTTTGAATTTAAACCGCCTTACATTAGTTAATTTTACTTTAATCTGTCAAGTTGACAGAACACAGAGTAATTACATAGTGAATGCAGTGCACATTTCGACGAAACGATAAAATCTTTTCAGTTTTCACTTTCTTGCTTTCTAATGTGTCTCTATACTTGTTTTCCTGATATTAGGTTCGTTGCTTTTTTTTAAACTTTGGATATAATTATCATCACAAATAAAAACAGTTATCCGAAGTAAATCAACAAAAAGAAGAACAGTAAGTGATTCCGAAAAAGCTGCTGGAATTGCTAAACCACCTAAACTTATAGTTATTAACGATACACCTATAGGTCTTCCCCATATAAAGAAAATCATCACACCATTTAATACAGCCATGCACGCTAATACACTTTTAAATAATTTTGTTAGTGCCGGCATTTCGGCATAATTTTCAACCACATGTCGTAAAAAACGTACTTCCGGATATGTTTCAATCACACTTGTATTTTCTAATAAATTAATAATTTTATCAATATTTTGTTTTAGCTTTAATGTATATGGCGAGTGTTCTTGAGTTTCTTTTTCTATGCTAGATAGCCAAGTAAGTAATAGAGACGCGGATAAAATCATCACTATAGAATAAATCAAAAAAATACACATTCTTTTTCGTATCGACACGTGTTGGTAATATCCATTATACCATTCATCTGAAAGAGACAAGAATATTATAAAATTCTTTGAAAATAATTTGATAAAATTTTATAAAACTCTAGAAAGACTTCGTACGATCCCTATAGATCGATTTTTCTTATGTAAGAATCTTACCAGAAACGGTTACAACCATCTGTTTTCGTACTGCAAACTGGAACAGGATAAAGTTTTTTTGCTGTGGTTTTAAATACGACACTAATAAGACGATTGAGTAGAGGAAATAGCATGATTAATCGAACATTGACTTTCCTCATCTCTGATTCTCGAAATCGGTCTACCTATTAATTACAGTGCCTAATTTATTGAGCGGTAGAACGTAATTTGAAAAAGACGTAAAATAACGGTTTGAACAATGTTTCATCATTTTCTCTTCCTCGTCGCCAACATCTTGGATGTGCGGAACTCTTCTTTATTCCAACCCGGACGAAAAAACATGTTTAGAACAGAGAGGAGCAACTCCAGAAAGAGTTGGTGTTGAGGGAATTTTTGATGGAGTTATGCAAAATTTATCGGATTTAGACTGTGTATTTGGGTAATATCGACGCTGACACAAATAAAAGTTCAGCGATTCCTAAGAAGTTATACCAAGACTTACAGTGGTTGCTAACGGAGTTGAAATCGGGGTTGTCCATCTCTGCTTTAGAAATGGCATGAAAAACGCGTGTTTTCCGAATCCGTCAGCAAACGATCGTTAAAAGAGCCGTGTAAACGCGTTTTTGTCGTTCAAAAGTTTAGAATAACGATCGTTAAATTAACCATTTTCTGGCGTTTTTGTAACGGAATTAAAATGGTCGTTGAAACGCGTTATTTTATATAAAAACGCGCTTTAATGTGTCGTTTCTAAACGCGTTTACAAAAAGAAAAAAGTTCGAAGCTATATTATTTCAACGTCGTTAGAAAACGCGTTCAATAAAAACGCGAGAATGGTTAATTCAAAGATCGTTACCAAACGAGTTGTTGAAGAACTCATTATTCTAAACTTTTGAACGACGAAAAACGCGTTTAAACGACCGTTTTAACGATCGTTCGCTAACGCGTTCGGAAAAACGCGTTTTTTGTGCCGTTTCTAACGCTTTTTTCTTGAAATTGAAAATTTTCATGAAGTACTCATTTAACTGCTCTCCAGTAGTTTGTTGTCAGCTAATGTATTGTGAAGAGGATATGGCCGATGGGAAAAGTGGAAGAATGGTCGGTCAAAAGTTGATGGCTCAAATCTCGATATCTTCCCTCTGTTTTTTTTTTGGAATCATTTCAAAACGCGTTAATTAACGCTTTCGCTGTCATTCATATTCATCGAAAAACGCGTTTTCAAATGAATAGATAAAAAAAGTGTTGGTTTTGAAATCTTTAACGCGTTTTTTTTTTTAATTTTTTTACCCTTGGGGAATATCGAATATTGTACGTGATTTCAGTTTCATATCTGCATCATTTACTGCGACTCGCTCAAATTTTTACTCAGAATGAACATTTTAGCTTACATGTGTCTTGAAAAAACAGTAGACCGCAAAAGGAGAAGGAAGATTAATTTAAGGAAGATTATTTAAGTAATTTTATTTTTGGTTGATAAAATACAAATAAAAAATAATATCGACGTACTAGACAAAATGCTGCACATACATGAAGATCTAGGATGAATCGTTCTTGATCGTAGTTATACAACAAGTTTAGATATCCTCTTGTTCCTCTCCAAGTAAATTTAGTTTTCGTTCAAGTAAAATAATATATTTTTTTGCCTTTTGATAATAATATTCAGCCAGATTATAATGATTTTTTAAAACAAGATCATTTGCTTTTTGTCGATAAAATGTTAGAAAGCCTTCGATTAAACGAAATTCAAGATTATTTTCTTTTGAATAGACTTCTTTTATTTTTGGATACTCTTGTGCTACCTCATTAAAAAAATCTACGTTTTTAAGGTGATTATCTTCAATATAAAAATAAATAGAACTTATCTGTTCATTCCTTTCAAATTATGTGAGTATGTCAGGTAACATAAAATTTTCGGATAAAATAAGAATAGTTTTTCCACCAGTATTGGCCTTCATGAATTGATTACAATCAGATAAATTGTCAAAATATTTCAATTGTTTGTCTTGATTGTCAAATAATTCATTTAAATTTAATTCTTGAATACTATTATGTAAAAAAAATAACTTTTAACATTGAGAGTTCATTAACTGTTGCATCTAATTCGTGATCAGCTATAAGGAAAAAATATAGAACATTGATCTCAGTTTTTCAAAAAAAAAGAGAAGTGTCAAGTTTTCTTTTACCAATATATTGAAAAAGATGAAGTTCATTACTCTGAACAAGTAGGAACTCACTGCAGCTGTTCTTTTTATCTGTTCCTTAAAATAAGTTTTATTGAGTGTAACAGGAAAGAAAGTTTAAATACTGAGTGATTTGCAGTGCCATTGTATCGTTGATCCGATATGTAGAAAGTTTATAACTTCTTTTCTATTCAGTAAATGTTTTTTTGTTCTACTTGAGTGTTCTCACTACCGTGTAAACTCAATTATATCTCCCGAGTTGTAGATCGCAAATGTTAAAAATACCGCTTTTTAGCGCCTTTGAAAGGCACTAAAAAACAGTGTTTTTTTTAATGCAATAAGTGCGTGTCCAATTATTCAAAGCGATTTGTGATAGAAATGTTTCTCCTCCCAAATATATAAATGGGGTTTAAATACATTATTCGTTTCGAGGCCATTTTTGGTTCAAAATATGACTTTACAGACACTTTGACTGTTTTTTGTTCTGCTACTTAACTTGCCTAATAACGCACCAAATACTTCGCGTGAACGTTATCCGAAATGTGCAAAAGATGGATGACCGGAAACTATTTTAAGGAAAAACGGAAAGCTATTAGCATCATTCTGTTCGTGAAAAAATGTCCCGCTCTTTTTCTAAAATGTATTTTGTTACGTTTCTGAAAATATTTATAATAATTTTTCTCATGTGATGGTGAACATACGTCCAATTTTAAGCTTCTACTATAGCAGCGATTGTGAAAAAGTGGAACTTTATTGTCAAAATGTCCCACTTCTTTCTGTGGCGCCTTCTTGTGGCACCCTCTCACGGACAGTTGTAAGTAGCGCCAAAAAAAATATCTCGCTATCACGCTTTCACACGGTGAACATTCAGCTGAGCTGGGACAGGTTTCTCACCCAGGCGGGGGCGAGGGGCTTCAAATGATGGTTAATTCTCTCGAAACTAGTTTCACAGGATCGGTCTCTGAAGACTCTATCCACTGATATATAATAGCTAGGTTGGATTATCAGCGGCCTTGAATGAAAGACAAGACTCGGGGGGCATAAAATCGTGCAAAAATAAAAACATGCGAACCATGTCTTGGCGAGAAGAATTCCCAAGAAAATGTCGAACTACCCATCTGGCAGGTTCTTAGAATAATTCAGCATTATGATGCATTATTTGTAAATTCGTGCGTTTTAATGCATTATTTTCAAGTTTCATGTGTTATAATGCATGAATTTTTGTGTAAAATAATGCATTAGAGACATTAATGCATCAATAATGCATTACAACGCATGAAAAACTACGAATTTTAATGCTAAACTACGAATTTAATTAGAAGCATTATTCACAAATAATGCACCATAATGTCGAGAAAAAGTCGAATAATGCAACATATAACTATATTTTTGCGCTTTGTCTCATTTATTAATAAACTAGAACTGGTTTGTATTCAAACGTCTCTTTATCGCTGAAACTCCAAGTTTTTCAGCTACAAGCCGAGTCAGATCTGTCAGTAAAAGATGTGATACACACCATTGCGTCCGTCTCATCGAGATCTATTGGATGGTGTATCATACTTGTACTTTTGTGTCATACCAAAAGCTTTTTCCACACATAACCTCGGGGATTTCTAAAGTATTTCGAAAAACTCTCCTGTCTCAGCCATCTTGATAGTGACAGTCGGGAATTTTATTTCCTGTTCTCCTCTCATATAGTACAATGAAATGTACGATTGACAGTTTCTTTACAGTCAAAAATTGTTTTTCGCTCATTTTTTCCTCCTAACGGTACAATAAAATTGCAATTGGCTCATATATAGAGGAAAAGAATATATATATATATATGGAAGAAAAGAAGAACAGAAATTCTTCCCATGTCTTTTTTCGTGTAATATTATTATTCGTTATAGTATTACTTGATTTTCTGCCATCCAGTCTAGCAATTTCGCGATCGTTTTCCAACCGTGTTTCTTTTTGCTACCCATGAAAGAAAGTTCAGGAAATAGAACGGCAAAGAACGCATTCTTTTTGCAAAAGAAAACGTGTTCCTCTCTGCCAAGAACGCATTGAGCAAAAAATCGGTCTTAGGCAATAAAAACGCGTTCCAAAGCCGTCTTCAGGATCCTGGTAACTGGTAGAAAAAAACTTTACCGCTTCGCACTTCCCAACTCTCTGCCAATTCTTTTCGTCTCTCAACGCATTCATCTCATAGCTTAGTCTCCGTTCTCAAATACACGTTCTTTTTGTAGTGAAACGCAGTCTCAGTCTCAAGGAACGCATTCGGGAGCGTTTTTCTTTGCTTTGTCTTAGATTCGACGTGGGGGACCTTATGATCAGGAGTCCAACGAGTTATTATTAGGCTACATCGCGCTTATTACTTATAAGTTGATTTTCTTGTTTATATTTAACGAGATGAATCTAGACATTCGTTCGATATCCAAACGGTAATCTCATTCTAATCACGTTTTTCAGATGACTAAAATAGTTTTTAGTATGAAGTTGGAAAATTCAACATTGTTTTGAGAACTGTAACTGACTCTTATTAAAACTGAGTTTTAAGACCAGGGTTTTGTGTATTCTTTTTACAAGCTTGTTTATCAGATATTTTTGTCATTGGTCCATGTGGACTTTATTGTTATTGATGGCCGCCGAGGAAAGAAGGTTAGACGCTAGCTAGTCTCGTCAGAGCTACAAGAGATAGTAGCTATGGATGAGAATGAGTGAAGAATGAGAGAAATGTGAGTATATGGTAAAAGAGAAGAGCGATGAGTGTGGATTACAAGGAGAGAGAGACACACAAAAAAACAAGATCCATGCAAGCAGACGAACAAACAGAGCACAAGCGCTGTACATTGAGCAGCGAGCGCCAACCAGCGCCAAAGCGTGATTGCGAATAATGACAGCCGAGTCTATACAAAAATTTCACACGGTAATGGGAACCCCGTGTGCGCCACCATACGCTACACAATCTGCTAATGCGCATCTACAAACAACAGGTACTCAAGAAGAACTGCTAGCAAAAAAATTTAAACTGTACACAGAAATTGAGTGACTATTAATTATTTGAAACAAACAGAGACAAGAAAACTGTTACCCTAGAAGGATTTATTTTGTTTAACTTTAAAAGATTAAACAATAATAAAAATCCATTACCTTCTTTCATAACATATTATTTGATTATTTAAAAAGAAGATGATGGATTTCTAGAGCAGAAAATTCTCTATGTTTTGATTCTGCAAGGGTAGAATTGTGTCCCTCATAACGGTAGCAGTCGTTGATATCTCAAAATTAGACTTCTGTAGCACATAACATTACTTAGTTGACATATTTGTTATATATGAAAAAGCAAATTTGTTTGATGCCAGAAGCAAACGGCATGTAATGCTTTCGTGAAAGAAGAGAAGCTGGAGCATCGAAAAGAAAATATTCTTTTTTCGGTTCTATTAACATTCTCATTCACAACAAACGGCATTTGTATGACTCAAGTAAATAATAGGTGAAATGACCGTGAAATTGTGAGACTGGATGGCAGAAAATCAAGTAATACTATAGCGAATAATAATACTACACAAAAAAAGACATGGGAAGAATTTCTGTTCTTTTTATATACATACAGAAGACAAAAAGAAAATAATAGTATGCAGATAGTGCCTATTTTCAAGTAATTACTGGCTAGAAAACTTCTTCATACTGGGAGAAAACGTTTTTTCCCATGAATCATGTAGGAGTCTGTCTGAATAGAAAAATAAGGTCTGAAGGTAAATAACGAAGTGCATATTCAATCCAGATACTAGTCTATCCCTATATAAGAGACACAATTTCTTCGTTTAATCAAATAAATCAGAATGAAAATCGCTTCCGTTATTTTCATATTTTGCCTTTTCTGTATTTCGTTTTTAAAAGTACGTCTCAACTACATATGTAGGATTCAGAATCTATCTTTCGCTTTTTCACAGAAGCAGAAGGTATTTTTGGTCGACTACCAAGGTATCATACCAGGCAGTCCGTTGTCACTTGCCCAATCAGGCAATATTGCCTGAATAGACAACTTGACCGTTCGCGCAAGGTCTGATCTCGGGAACCATCAGTCGTCTAATGGGCGGGAAGTGATCATTCTACTCCTCGTACATTCATTATTCAGCGTATATTAAAGTTAAGTGTTCAAGCTTCTTTCTCTTTTATGACAGAGACGAATAGCAAACATAGCTCGGTTTTGCGCAATTTATCTTGCCCGATTTGGCACTATTGCTCGTTCAGGCAAGATTGATATTGCCCGTTCGCGTAAGGTATTCTTCGGATCAGGCAATCTTTCGTCCTTGCCTGATCAAGAAATATTGCTCGAACGGACAAGTTTGCCCGATCCCCAAGCGTCAACAAAAAATCTGGTATCACCCGACTCATCTAGATTACTAGGCTTTTACCCGATTGCAACTATTGGGTAACGACAGTGGAAATCTTGTAATCGGGCGATTGCCAGTTGCAACTATCGATTCAACTATTGCTTGTTACACACGCAAATACATCTATTGTTCATTCAAAAAAAGAATAACGCATGATCGTTTTTTTAATAACTGAAGAACGGAAGCACTTAGCCATCTGCGGTTTTCACCATTAGAAAGAGCGAAGCGTGGGACGTAGGCCTATATAAAACACGATGAGTCTACTGGTAAAAATATGCGTTACTTACGGCTTTAAATTTTAGTGAAAACTGCAGTAAAATATACCTAGTCTTGAACATTCACCTCGGAAGACAACTGATTCAAATGCCAGGTATACGTTGAACCATGCCTCTTCTTTATTCGAACTCAGCAAGATAAAATCTTGAAGTTGTTCTGTGAAAAAGAAGACCTTCAGCGATAAAAAGGAAGTTGGAGGGTTCGAAAAAAATGTTGATTATATGATGGCTTTTGGGAAAAATACTCAAAAATTCCTGATATGTGTTTTGTATAATAGAAGAATTTTTGCATAGGTCTACGTCCCACGGTTCACTTTTTCTGATGGTGAAAACCACAGGTGGCTAAGTGCTTCCGTTCTTGAGTTACTAAAAAAACAGTCATGGGTTATTCTTTTTTTCAAGGCAGTTATAGTTGGTCACCGTACAGAAAAGCACCCTATCATTCAGGGCAAACATTTTTCCAGCTTTCCCGCTCAGTTGTTCCGCAAGTTATGTCATTTATCCACCAGCAGTACTTTTATCTTTTGCTCATAATAATTTGGTATTCAAAACATATTGCATCTAAACTAAAAACGTATGTTTTTACTTCGTCCGTTTTTACAATCATTGAGGATGAGTGTACTATATTTATATATTTACTGGTTGTTCTACTGTATTTCACAACGATAATAATTGGATCAAGCTCCTAGATCTTTAATTGCATAAAAGTGAAATATATTTCTTGGAAACTTGTGGTGAGAACATGTGGTGGCATTGTTTTGTGGACTAATAGTAATATTGGCAATGATATCATCCGATCCCCTACCGCTTCCTAACCAAAAACTGACAAGGTGGGTATTTCCCGGTAAAAGTGTTATTGTCTGACTTAAATAATCAACAATACCGGTCATACCATCGTAGTAACAGTTTTGCTTGAATGAGACGATATTGCGGCCACATGATCCGTTTGATAGGCCCACCCGTTCATATTCCCATTTTCAAAGTCTCCATTAACAATTTTTTTTAACGATTTTGTCCACCATACGTTACAGTAACAGCGTCTAAATACCAAAAATTTGAATCTTGTTCAAAACCAAAGGTGACTGTTGCACACAATTGAAAGGCTGTATGATATGAATTTAATAAATGATAAAGATTAATATAAATGAACGTGCTTGATAGTTTTGATGTAGTTGATGTCATAAGCTGTGCTAAAATTATCTTGGATTAAGCAAATCAGTCAAAACTTATTCTAAAACATAAGATCGCTTGTTGTGATGAAGATATTTGTTTTGTTTGTGTGTAAAATATTAACGATAACGGATACGATGGTCACAGTACAAGGTAATAGAATTATTCCAACACCAAATGGTATATTTTTTATAATGAGTTTACCAATTTTGTTAACTGGAGAGATAGCAGTATCTCCTCTAAGTAAATTCAACACATACGATAAAAAACGGAATAAAAAGGTAACACTAATTCTGTGACAGATGCTTGTTGAGCAATTGTCCAATTGTTTGCGGATGTGTCAGCATTCCATACAGAGATTCACATGATATTTTTAATGCTGCGTCTTTATTTGAGGAAGAAATGATAGGCTCCGATTGCGTTATCATTGTATTGAATGTTTTGGGATCGAAGGTGGGCGTTGACTGAATTAAACACTGTGTGTCACCAAGTTTTAGGGAAAATACGGACGATGATGAACGGAAAAGTTGTGCTTTAATTGACGATGGTGAGAGTGTGCGATTATCGAAATTGAGAGGCTGAAACAGACAGAAAGAGTATGACATGGTCTTCAATTACGCATTTTAAAATATAATGTGGATGAGTATTTTCTAAATAATTTTTGGTAGAAAGTCGATAAACGTCTGCAGCTTTTGACATTGAAAAGTCATAACTAAAGCGCATTTTTCCATAAAAATTAAGTTTAAATACTTTTTATGAAGTAAAACTTTTGTAACGTTTAAAAAAAGCAACTCTGGTTTGAAATCTCGAACATAAATATACAGTGATTTTTTGTTCACAGATTGTGCACTAAGAAAATGAGAATCAAGCAAGACCTATTTAAACTCTACTTCACCTTTATTTTGTTATAAAATTTTGTCGTTGCTATAGAACAGCCTTTTGTCGATTTCTATGATAAGCTTTTTCGTAAAACTAGCAGTTTGCTTGCCAAACAGATAAGTTAGCTTAGCAAATGTTTTCACTTCATTGTGTGATGACGGAAGTTTAGACCGAAAAAGGTTTATTGGCGTTACAAGTTTTAAAAATTTTACATTTTCTGGTTGTCGTAACTCGCTGAATGGTAACAATGTTTTAAAGTGAAGCCAGTCGTTGATTTGGTTAATGTTGAAATTTGAAGAGACTGCATGTCGTGCGGTACAGAACCGTTCGTTTGATATCATTCATAATACTGATGGGAACGAGAAAAAACCTTGTGTTAGCTTTATTGAAGTAAGAAAAGAAAACGTATTGTGCTTTGTTTACTATCTATCTACTCTTATCATTACCAAGAAAGAAAAAGAATATAGACTTTTTAATACTCGTTGTTTATGTAACAGAACATGAGAACGCCAAACTATATCTGCTAGCGATATTAATCAATAATGTATTGTGACATTCGTATTTAGCTGTAGATTTAATTTGAAGAATGTATAAAATGGTCAAAGTTGACAGTTTAAACCAATAGAAGATCGAAAGTTAATATGAATTTGAATATTATATTCTTATGGATTTAAATATTTCTTTCTTGATGTAGTTGAACGCCATTGAAGCTCTTTCTGAGAAACAGATACAGAAAATAACGACAACTTTCCGGTATACTTTATACTTATTTAGATATGGTGTAAGATTAAAAGATAAAGAATGAATTGCTAGCTTACTGAGGAATCTAGTCGCAATTCATTAGAGCTAAAATACTTGTACCTTTTATATCTTTCAGATCAATTCGATCCTGTAGAGTAATATTCTTTGTATTTTATTTTCGAAAAAATAATTCATCATTTTTATCTGTAGTTTATTGAATTATCACATGGATTAAGCATCGAAAAATTATTCTGTATATATAACTGATTTTTTCCTTTCTATTTGAATGAATAATTCGAACATAACAATTGAACATGGAACAACACAAGTGAACATGGCCAGCAAATTATCAATTATTTTGGGTAAGTCAAATTTCACTGTTCGCAGGAATTTTAAGAAGAATCTTGTATGCGCAGTAGCCGTTAGTTTCCTCTGACTGTGATTTTTGAACGAGACGGCTCCAGGAACGTTTCTAAGCTGCTGGGATGAACAGCAGATCGTCACGATGTTTATGGTCATACGACATCGCCTATGCCTCAGGTGTCTCTGGTACTAGATCGGGGATTTCGCTAGATCCTCTTGAACTCTCCCTCCCCACTCAAGCTAAAAGCATAGTTCTGTTGTAGTTAAAATGGCGAACCGACTTGGCATCCAACGGCACAGGTACCCAGGCTCCTGAGAAGGTGTGGCACAGATTGCCCAGTTTTCCGGGACAGATAGCTCGATATCAGGAGCCTTCATTCTTACTGCTTCGTTGAGAATACTGGTTTTAGATACTCTTGTTTGTCTCTTTTAGGAGTTGGAATTCCTGGTATTCTTATATTAATTTGTCTTATCGGTTTCTTGGCTAAATTTATTGTTGAACGTCGCAGTGAAAAAAGGCGTGGTCGGCTTCGACATTCAATAGAAAAAAAACCCGGCACTGATCGAAAGCCATTAGAAGGGACAAATGGCAATTTAGGAAATTCAGTGGCCACTTCTGAACAAGGAAATGGTTCTAAACATATCGTAATACCCCAGGATAGATCAGATTTAAAAACAGTGCGATTACAAAAAGTCAATCCGAGCCAATCAATTAATCCTAGTCCAGTAGATCCATCCCAATCCCAAAATCCACCCGCTGAACCAATGAACGGATTTGATGCATCGGTATGAAAACGAAAGAAAACTAAATCTATGCGAACAAAATCACTTAATGTAAGAGGACTTGTTATTCGCCCAGGTGTCTTTTGAACGAGTGAGTGGTGGAAAGAGCTGATTATGCCCGAGCCCCGGTTGTAGTAATGATAGTGCATTCGTCATTGCATCAAAATGGGCGCCGTGTTATGCATTCTCCTACGGGTAAAAAATAAAAGAAGGAAGTAACTTTTTTATATAAGTTAACTAGCATTATTAGTGAGAGATTCCTGGTAAAACTAAGACCGTTTTCTTTTTGTGTCATCTGTATTGTTACCATTAATCAGATGAACTTTTTTTTGTTCCAGGACTCTGTAGCAATATTCTGCTGCAGCCACATGTTTTTTCCTGACAATAGGTAGACATGCTATGTATCTGAATGAACGTCCCATAATTGAGAACAAAAAATAGCTGATCTGCTATATTTAAGAACATGCAAAAACGTAAAAGAATTAAATATGCTTCTTCTTTTTAGCATTATAATTAAGCCAAAGCAGTTTATATTTCAAAAGCTTTTACATGAGTCGATAAAGAATGCCTTCTCTATCCAAAAATCTAAAATATTCGCTTATCTCTTGAAAAATGGTTGCGAAAACTCAAAGGTTTACGAAAAATAACAATATAACTGCCAGGATTAGGAACAGTGACTCTATTTTCTTTCAACGAATACATACGCTTGGACAAAAGACACATACATCAGTTCTTTAATAGCTGTGTAACCTACGATGATAAAAGCAAATGTAAGGCAGAGAGAAAAAAGAAATTATCACGTATAACTTAGAACTAACCAACGACTTACTATTCTATCGCGTTTATAATTTAATGAATTTTTTCAGGATAACAGCATTTGAGTTTTTTTTACACCTATTAGTCTGCCTATTGAAAAAACGTTCTCTTGTATTTATGCAACAGGAAAAAATAAGACAATTCCAACAGATCTTTTTCTCCTTGAAATCTAAAACGCGTAACATCTTTTTTTTTCTTATATTGTGGTAAAATCTGATTTAAAAAATATAATCGAGAATGAGGAACACAAGTACTCATCAAGGCAGCAATAAGGAGAAAGAATTGGAGTATTTTGATTTGGTGAGAACTATAAAATTATATTATTCATCTAAAGACTTATCGAGACTGTTTTATGATCTAGTGACGCAGAATTTTCAATCGAGAGAATTTGCGTGATTCTATTAGGATGTTTTCCTGTTGAATCCATTGTTCAGATAAATATGTCATTCGTACTTTCTCATGTAAGAGATGATTTTTCCAAGATGCAGTAGTTTAGATTTCTGTTATTGATTTTTACTAACTCTCAAAGGTAGATAGTTGAAAATTATATTTTATCTCATTTATCTATACTTCGTTGAATTAAAAGTCGGCGAACTCGATAGCGCTTTATCGAGGCCTCCTGTTAGAATCCCATTTCGATAATGATATGTCCGATGTGAGTTGCACTTTCAGAAAGTATTGACCGTGTCAGAGATTCAGTATACTGACGAAAAGGCTTTAACTGTATAGATACTAATTCAAAGATCTGAATGTATACCTGTACAACCAGCCTCACCACTCGCAGATAAAGAAAAATGATTTTTTTCTTATTTTGATTTCTTACTTAAATCGTTCATATGGTCAATATTTGAGATGCTCTCAGAGACTATCCTTCAACTGCTACTAACGAAAATAAGATATAAACATAGCTCACGTTAAGCCTAACGTAAGGTATGATAGATAAGAGCGGCTGTCTCAAAATGAGACGGCGTAAATCGGTTGCGAAATAGTCCGATTGATTCGTCTTATTATCTTTTACTTTTCGATCCCTCTTATCTTACGATGGATTTATCTTAGAGTGCATGTTTGAGAAAAATCAAGAACATTTTCATATAAAGAAATTATTCCTGACGGAAGAAGAATATTTCAGTTTATCAGTAGAAATTAGTAATTTATTTCCATTATAGTAGAAATGGAGTCGTTAAACAAGAAGTCCGCAACTTAGTTATCCATAAGGATTATATCCTCTTCATTTTTCTCTGTCGGCCTTCCTCCAAACTTCAAAACAAGTAGTCTGCTTCTCATTACAAAGCAATAACATGTTGTTTTCGATTTTTTCCAGAGCACATTAATGAAAGGCGAAAATGCTGAAAAACTTCATTTATTCATCAAGCGAGGAAAAGATGGACGATCGAAAGGAGCGTGCTGTTTCTGTCAGGCAAGCGGAGGCAATTACTGGAAACAGATTTCTGAGATGGCTTCTTGAATATCTAATTTGTTTAGGATGTTTTCATGAAATTATTGGTTAAACGTGAAAAAAATCAAAATGAATTCAGTTTCGATGTAATAACAATTAATGTTGAAAATCCACCAAAAGAATTTAAAGAAATATCTAAAAAATTACCGACGCTTGTACATGGTAAGTAATTTTATTTGTCGATATCGTTTCTATGTCTTTCTCAAATGTTCCATAATTTCAGGCGATGTTATATTAAATGACATTGATGAAATCGAAGATTATTTAGATACAATATATGAAAATTATAAATTAGGTGTACAAGATCAAGAAGCATTGCAAGCTCAAATGAATGTTTTTATAAAATTTTCCTATTTTATCAAAGATATCAGCGATAATCCACAACAATTATTAACTGAATTAGAAAAAATTGATCAATTTTTAGCACAACGAGGTACAAAATACATGTGTGGAAATGATATTACTGGTAAGTATTTAGTTTCTAAATTCGACTACTGTATCTCTGCTGATAAAAGAAAATATCTTTTCTGTTTTATATATTTCAAGGACTTGATTGTTCATTATTGCCTAAATTGCAACATATTCGAGTGGGATTAAATTACATAAAAAACATGTCAATACCCGTTAAATTTGGCTCATTATGGCGTTATTTAGCATTAGCCTATGAAAATGATTCATTTGTAAAATCTTGTTCATCCGACCAAGAAATTATCTGGCATTGGATACATCGTGAAGCATCACCAAAAGAACTTTTACAATTACAAATGGAGGAACCGAAATATTCGTTCGATGTACCAGATTCTTTGGGTAAAAGATAAATAGACGATTTGGCATAAAAAATTGTATTAGTGTGAATGATATGTTGTTTACTTTTTATATTTTCACACAATTATGCTGTGCCTATGATTAAAAATTGGTATGCGCGTTTTCTTTATCGAATAACTCTTCTTCTTTCTATATATATATTTTTTGAAATTTGCATAGTTTTTCTCACAAAAATTATATTTGACGTTAATTATGAAAAATAAAATGAAAAGATGAATCTCAGATTTATGAAAACAGTATCATTAATCGATCTAAAATATCTTTTCTGTTTCACGATTTTTTGACGAATTGATGGGTGTAGTCAAAACCAGATACTTTATGCCATGAAGATTACATTCTGATGATATGCCTCAAGTCACTGCATTACGACGAACACACAGTGGTCATTTTTCGCTCAGCATGTAGACATGTTATTTTTAAGTGTTTTTCTAAAATTATTTGAACCATTTTTCTACAGGTTATCGTGTGTGCTCTTTCCAATAGAATGGTTTTCGAGTTTTGAAAAAAATTTTTAAGAAGTTTTCTAGAGATCCGATGTCTGGAAAACCACTTAGAAAAAACCTTGTTAGATTCAGAAACCACTCCGTTGAATCGAGCATCGTCGAAAACCTACAAAAAACTAGTTTAGATACATTTGTGTTTTACTATCTTGAATTTTTAATTTTCGGACTAAAAATTCTATCTGCTGATGTCAATATCTCAAAAATCAATCCAGTTCAAAAGTATGCGTCTTAGATCCCATGAATTATACACCATTCGACGCAGTTTTTCACACTGAGTCCGATTATGCATAAATTGTTGTAAGACGAGTGAGTTTGAACGAAGAAAACTACTTTTTACCTGGAAAATGAAGGATTTTTAGAAAACCTATAACTCACAATATGAAACTTTTCGCTAGTTTTCGCTAACTGTGCTGACAGCTAATATATAGGAGAACATTGATAAAAAAACATTTGGAGTTGTGGAAAAAAGTGGAAACGCACTATACTGAGGACACCTTGTGGCAAAACTAGCTAGAAAAAAGGGGGCTGACGGAAAACGTCGAAAGGAAAAATGTCGA